TCTTATCCGCCTAAGGCCTGGACGTTTTCCTCTTGGGAGTTTCACTAAAATACATGCTCGGCGTGCAGGACCTTTTAAGGTGGCCAAGAGGTTAGGTCATAATGCCTATGTCATTGAGTTACCTGATGACTATGGAATGAGCCCTGATTTCAACATTGAAGACCTCACTCAGTTTTATGGTTCGGAGGAACAAGTGCCAGCAGCCACGGATCTACCTGCCCAACAAGATGTAATTATTCGTGTCCCTAAAAATACATCCTCAAGAGATGAAATTGCGTCTATACTTGATCACCAGCTTGTTACTACTCGGCATGGAGGATATCACAAGTTTTAAGTACAATGGAAAAATTGTCCTCCGTCTGATTCCATTTGGCTACAAGCTTCGGAGCTCAAGCGACTTCACCCAGACTTATTTACTGCCTATGTTCATCAAACTTGCCGGAGTCAAGTTCTTTCGAGTGGCTGGCAATTGATACAAATGTAGAGCACGATACCTAGGAGGAAACTACTCCTTAAATCGTGGAGGATGGAGATTTATTCAGCTGTTACCATTTTTACCTATTGATTTCAAAATTATGTTGCTAATTTGTTTATTCTTTCCTAGTTTATTTCCATAAGATTCTGTTACTATGTTGGCAATTCTTTCCTAGTTTATTTCCTGAATTATAACATCATTTGTAATCCTTTAAAAGTGGTAGTGATGGAGGAAAAAGGCAGTTGCCTTCGTTAAATGATCAATTTGAGATTGGAAAGATTCAATTAACAGAGAGACTCTGTTTGTATTCTATTCCTCTTAGAAGTTGACGTGAGGTTGGTTTTGGAGGTTTGCACCACGACATTTCGCAACAAAATGAAGAATGACTTTCTTACTGATTGTATTATACTTTTTATAGAAAGGGAACTTGATGAGAAAATTGATATAGAATCTGTTATAAATGAATATTATGTTTCAAATCCTCGCCAGGAACGATTTAAATAAATAATGTTCTTTAATGAATTTTTTTAGTACATGTAAATTTTATTACATTGACTTTGTTAAGTACTTTCCGCCCCCACAAAAAATCTTGAATTCGTCTCTGGTGAGGGCTAACAGAGTATCTACCTTTGGTGAATGTGTCAAACTTGAATAGGTCAGGATCAAAAGTACGAGTCCTAAGAACTCAGAAGACACCACCCCCAGGAGGTCCTGACCGACCGACCGGTAGGTGCCGGGATTCCAAAACTCTTCCCAATTTTCTGATTCCCTTTTTCTTCTCTGGTTGCTCTCCTCCCTACTGATGGATTAGACTCAAAAGATTTACATACCCTTTCTCAGATGGCTTAAACTGTGAGCTAGATTTTTGAGTTTCAGTTTTAGTAGTGTCAAGCACTTCAATGGTTTGAACTTCAGTATTAGGTTCATCAGTTTCCTGAACTTCCTCATCTGGGTCAAGACTAACCCTCTTTCCTTTTGTTAGTTCTGGTGGTTTCTCATTATCACCAGAACCATGGTATTTATCTATTTCCTTATCAGTATCATCTTCCTCAACCCAATTATCCTCAGATTCATCACTATTTTTCTTCCCAATGGTTACGTTACGACAAGGAAAGGTTATAGGGTCATTTGGTCGTCTGGTTGGACGTGGTGCAGCATGAGGATTCAACCACATAGGTTTCTTGAGGATGCTCATATGGTATGATAGCCCTTTCTTTATCAAAGTCTAACTAGATGGGTTTAGATGGCATTTGGGCTAGAGTAAATATTGTTCGGCATTGCAAATGTACTGATCTTCTGCTGGCTGTAGAAGGTTCGCCCTCACTGGTCTGTCTCTTCCCTCTCTTAGTTTTCACCTTTTTGCGACACTTGAAGCAAATAGATTAGAAGCGGAGAGAATGTGAAAAAAGAAGAATGCGGAATGTGGAGAGCTTAACCCTAGTGCATGATTCAAAAAGAGAAAAAGATGCAAATTTATAGAAATTACACACAGGTAACTACGAATAAGGACGTGCACGAGAGAGTTAATTTGAAAAACTGATTTTAAACAGTTACTACATAATTGCCCCTACGTTCTCAGGGACGTAGCCAGGATTTCAATCTTCCATGGGCGAAAATACGGGGGTTCGGGGGCTGAGACCCCGAAAATTATTTTTAACTAGGAGGATTGAAAACGACGATTTTAAGTACCAAAATAGGTAAATTAGATTGACTGATGCGCCCTCCGAATTTTTTTTAAATTAAGAGGATTGAAAACAACGATTTTGAGTACCAAAATAGGTAAGTTAGATTGATTGATGATGAGCTAAGAATAAGCACTTCCATCACATCTTTATTAAATCTATCTCTTAACTCCTGAACTTGAA